TTCCTCAGAGGCCATAGGTTGCATTGCCTTTTGAAAAAGTAAGAAGTATCAAGGTCTATATCACTAACATGATTTTTATCTGAGAATATTACTGAGGAAAATAATTTCAGAAAAACCAGTTTCCACCAAAGCAGAGGTTAAAAATAGCCAGAAAATACTATACAGATGGCTAAACAGATCTAACACACTGCTGTGTAGAGACACAGATTAGTCTACCTCTAGGACACTGCTCTTCTCCACAGACATTATCTTTGGATACAAGTAGAAGAACAAGAATTGCAGGGGTGAAGAAGAATGAGATTATTTTTTTCAACCCTTTCTGTGTCTTTTTATAACACTACACTGAGTTCTGCTGCAGGTTTTGAAACTGAGGGTTTCACTCTGCATACACAATTTGAACAAAGAGCAAGACAAAAAGATGGCAGCAGCCTCCTACTCTGAACACCTCCTCACTTTGTCAAGAAGGGAAAGCTAAATCAAAGAAAAACAATACCTAAATTCTAAACAGTAACAAATCCTCAGGATGTAATTTCATTCTTTCTGTATTTTCTCCTTCCAGTTGAAGGCTCCTAGATACCCACGAGACTGGAGAACTTAATCTTTTTCCTCCAAACCTTGTAAAAACAGCTTTGGTACTGAAATCACAACTTCTCAGCTAGAACAAAGTGCTCAGAGTAAGTAAAAGAAAAAAAAATGCTCTCTACCACATTCTGTGTCCCCTTTTAAAAGTTAGTTCGCTTTAGCAATTGAGTTTGAATATTATGTTACCTGGCAATAGGTAAATTCTGTTTCTGAAAAGTTTAAAATTATCTTCTATTTGTTTTCAGGAACTATGAGACTTGCTGATGTGTATTTTTCCTATATGACTGAGAATCCACATAAAAATTATGTCCTTTCAATGCCCCCCCCAAAAATGAAGCTTAGTCTTAATGCAAGTGAAGCATACAAGGCACAGCTGTGATGGGCATTTGGCCATTTCAGGAAGATTACCCCCGATTCTGTAAAGAAAGGGAATTTAGGGCACAATTTAGTGAGCAGCTGGAAAACAAACAATGCATTTAGCCAAAATTTCAGCAACAATAAGCCAGAAATTACAGTAAGCAAAATATTAAATTTTAAATAAAGACTGATACAAAATACTAAATGAAAAGGAAAAAGACAACGTTTTTTGCTGCTGAGATCAGTGTCCATGAACTTCAGAGTACCAGATGCTCAGCTTCTTCTCAGTACCTCATGGTAAAATGATGAATTCTTGATTACCATTTATGTTTGCTTAGTTTTGCTACAGCCTTTTGCTCAAGTTTTTATGTTATCCTTCCCCATTCCTAAAAGCTTTAGGCTGAGAAAAGCAGGCTGAACTCAGGTACATTTTGTACAAAGCACACTGCATTGAGAACTTTGGGAAAGCCACGGTCATGTTAGTCAGTGCTGTACAGGTAACCCAGCTCCATAAAAGCATCATCTCATCTCCAAAGCCTGATGACAGGCAAGGTACCTCAATCAGCATTTTGGGGGAATAAGGAGATGAGAACAATAATCTTCTCAAAAAGTAACTGCCAAAACTCACTTAGTTTTTACAAAGTTTTTTGACTTGTGCAAACACAGAGTTTCATAAATCACAAGTCAAAGAACCTGAACATAGTTGAAGTTGACAGACATTGTTGAGAGAGAAATTGAATACAAAACAAGTTTCAAAGGATGGCCATGCCAAATAAGACTGGATACTTTGGAGAAATAGAACTGAAAGATGAAAGATGCACTGTAATGGGACCCACAAGGGGTAGTTTAGATAAGAGGCTTTAAGGCATCTACAGCATGGAGTGGCTAAAGCTGACAGGCCAAGAAACACTTAAAATGTTTTGTAATTAGGAAATAGTTGCGCTTCTAATTGTGATGGTGTCAATTATAACAGCTATATTCTAATCCTTCATGTGAGACTGAAAATGGAATAAACATTTTTTAAATGCCTCTCAGTTGACCCATCTCTGCATCAGAAAAGGGTATAATCTGACAAATGAAAGTTGGGTTTGGGGTTTTTTAAAGATTATTACAGAATGGCTGCATTTTTTCTGAAGAGCCTTGACAATGATTCTGGAGCTTGCTAATCATTGCTGTAATGTAAGAAATGCTGTCTTATGAAAAAGGACTAACACTGTGGCTTCAAGGCTTCTAATGCTTTTGTAAATGTTAACTTGACAGTTGAAAAAATACATTTTTATACTAATTAATTACCTTTGAGCCTGACTAAACTAGACTTTTTACAGTCTGAGACAGCACCACTCATTACTGCACACAAGACTGGCATTAAATGCAAAACCTCTACTGCAAGGAAGTAAATTTATTATGTGATTATCAGAATGGAAAAAGCGCTTTGAATTATTTATTTTCAACTAACCAGTGAAAGAGAAGAACTTGAATGAGGCAAAATCCAATAAGTGACCTCATCATTTATGTATAATGAATACCACTTCCTATCACAATTTACACCATACTGCATTATAAGAACAACAAAAAAAAAGTTTGTCAATAACTGAAAGAGAACAAAGTGAGAGAAATCTTGGTTCATCTGATCCACAAAATATAGAAAAATACTGGTTCCGTGATAAAGAAATAAATTTTAAAAGTTCATTGAGAGAATTACCTTTTTTCCTAACATGAACACAATACAGGTTTTATGGTGATGGTAATCAAAACTGGAAATTCACCTTTATATTTGCTGACCAGCAAAGAGCTTCTGTTTGGCAATTAAATCCCAGACAAAAAAAAAAAACTTAATACACAGACTGAGCCTGAGTTGTATCTGCACCTAAAACACCAGATCCCTGCTCACAATTACAATTAATATTCTTCCTCTGCTTTTGTACTTGGGTAACAGGATGACACGAAGACTAAAACCTAAAAACAAACCTACTAACAACCGCAGTGAACTCTGGAGGCTGAACGACCTGTCCGTATCACGCATGTAGGCATCTTTAGACTCACCTGTACAGCGAGAACCAAAGCAGCACCGCCCTTCGCGAAGGAACGCTTGGGCGGGGCCGGGCCGGGCCCTTCGGCCCCCAGCCCCGGGGCGCGGACAGCTCCGGGCTCGGCCCCGCCGCAGCCGCATTGACGCCCAGCAAAGCATCCGAGAGCACCGGTGCGCCTCCAGAGCAGGAGCGGGCACGGCCGCATGCCGGCACCCCGTACAGGGAGCGGGCACGGCCGCATGCCGGCACGCCGGGCAGGGTGCGGGCACACACACAGAACGCGCCGGCACCCGCGGGCGATCCCGCACGGACACCGCGGCCAGACCTCCGCGTCCCTCCTCAGGCTGCCCTCTCTGAAGATGCCCTCCCCTGAGGCTTACATCCTTCAGACTGCCCACCCTGAGGCTGCCCCCCCTGAGGCTGGCATCCCTCAGGCTGCCCCTTCTGCGGCTGACATCCCTCAGGCTGCCCCCCCTGAGGCTGGCATCCCTCAGGCCGCCCTCTCTGAGGCTGCCCTCGCCGCGTCCCCACTCCCGCAGGGCAGGCAGGTGCGGTGGCCTCCCGATAGGTGCGCTCGGCAGGGCTTGTACTGACCTTTCTGCTGCCGAAAGGACTGGATGGAGCCCGAGTGGTGAACCATGCTGGCGGAGCGCAGCCTCCCAGCTGCCAGCCCGCCGGCTGCGGCGGCGGGGGGCGGGCACCCAGCGGCGCGGCCCGGCCCGGCGCGGCCCGGCGCGCAGCGGAGGCCGGGGGAACGAAGGGCCCGGGGAATGGCGGCGGCCGCGGGGGAGGTGGTCACGCCGGGCCCGGGGGGCGAGGGGCGGGCGCGGAGCCGGGGCTGCGCCTCCGCCCGCAGCCCGGGCCGGGAATGGTGCCAGCGAGAATCGGTGGGAAAGGCTGTGCGCACCCCGCTGAGGAGGAGCGCTGGCCGCAGCCCCGTTATCCCTATTGCCTGGCTGTGCCCTCGGTCTCCCTTTTTAGAAAACATCAGGTGTTCCTATTGAGGTGAAGGGCAGCGAAGTAAAAATTGCATCGGCTTTACGCGGTAACGGCTGCGTTTGAATCTCAACGTTGTGAGTTAAGTTGGTGTTACATCGCTTCCATCCCCGTCCTCGCACCGCGTCCCTTAGTTGCATCACAGCTTTTTTTATTTCTATGTATTTTACAAAACTTAGAGTCTCAACCTTACTGCAGATAATTTTTTACAAGATACTAAATTACAAACTCAAGCCTGATGTGGCCCATTTCTATCCTATTTGTATCATAATCTCCCCTTTCTCTACAGTGTGTGCCAGTAGCTCATTCTAGACAACAGAAGATTCAAACTAAAAAGGGTTTTATTTCTTTCCTTGTTGCTCTCTGGTCACATTATTCTGTCTGGATTCTGAATAAGTTTTATGATAGTATCCTTCAATCCCTGTAGAATGCTTTGGATTTCTTTTTAATTTTTTTTTCTACCACAATATTCTGGAGGGTTTGGTCCTCCTAAATTAATTCAGTCAAATATTGTAGCCTGCATCTAGGAGTATCTATATCCTCTTCTCCATTTAGAGATACAAATATCATTTACTCATTAGAAGTCAATTCAATCACCTAACTAGCACAGGTTACTACAGTATTCCTTCAAAGTCTGTGGCTCCATTTGTGTCCTGTCAGATTTCCTCTGACAGTAAAGGCAGAACTTCCCCATAGCTGACTGGGGCTTGTCATGTACAATGTGCCAAAAAAATTACATAAATGCTACCCCATACTACAGTCTGTACTATAAATGGTACTACTTTGTCTATATGGGTGTAGTTAAGCAAACAAGATGGATACACACTTTTTTGTGTGTGTGTAAGAATGTTTTTCCACTATGAAAATATATTAAACAACCATATATAAACCAATACATCCATGCATGTAGAAAGGCAGACAAAAATTGCATCCTAACTGGTGAGGTATTCCGCAGCACTTTTTTTAGAGTACAACAGATATTGCTCTTACATAACATGCAGCTGACACATCCATAAGGGGAAAAAATAAACTTACCTCCTCAGGATAGCTGACCACATTTCAGGCTGCTCTGCGACATTTGCAGAAGGTTTGTTGTTAGTTTAAGAAAAGATGCAGAAGCTATAGTGCTATAGTATGGATCTTACTCATTTTTTGGTCTCCAGTGGTAGTCTGCACAGTGAAGGTAACATGAGGCATTCCTCTGCACTCATGCAATTTTAGAAAAGCTCCTCAGAACAGCTTTTTCCTGCTGAGATACAGCACTATAAATGTTGCATGGCAGAGTAAGTCAGCCAGCTGACTTGCTGATCAACAAGTTCTGGCAAACTAAAAGCAAGCTAAAAAAAGAGATGAATAAAATCTTTGTTGTTTACTTTCAAGCTTTAATGTAGACATCAGAGTGGACTCATGGAGATTAAAACCAAATCTATTCCCTGAAGGTCAGCCAGAAAAAACAAAAAGAGAGTGTAATAAAACCTATAAACTTAATAAACATGTGCAACCTGTAACAAGCAAAGGTAGTTCTTGCACTGTAAGGGTCTAAACCTTTGCCAGGTTCTAGGACAGATCTATTCTTTGGGAAACCTTGGCTGACACCTTTTGACTTGCCTACAAAGTAGAAGAACAGTGTGCATTGTGCTCCTTCTCTTCGCAGCACAAAATAAAAGAGGGCCATTGCTGGCTCTCCAATGATAGTAACTACAAAATGCAGAGGGGAAGGAGAGGGGCTCACAAGTAAAATTAAAGAAGAAAGAGATTATCATACTCAGTCTTGGAAAAGAGGCTGTCAGCTGCCTGGTACTCAGTGCCATCCTTCTAATTTCTGGTCCACAATCCTCCACAAGGACTTACAGAACTCCTGAATCCAAGCAGATTTCACTGACACTAGTAGATTTCAAGTATATTTCACTGACATAATACACAAAACGATGGGAAGAGGAAGCCAGGGTAAGGCAGTGCTCAGAAATCCTGTACTGGATTAAATGCTGAGACTAGAAAATTATAAATTATATACATTATAAAGCTCTATTTCTAACAGTAGGTGGTGTGTATGCATCAAACTACAGATAAGGCATTTGAAGCTAAGGTCTGCAAAAGAGAAGAAAAACTACCTCTACAAAGGTAATTAATTTTTAAATTAAATCCTTCACAGTGTCAACTGACTTAACTTAATAATTGTAAAATATGATCATATGAGGATCTTGAAATATAGTTCTTTGGTAAGTAAGGAGAGTTTGAAGATCTTTTTAGGGTGCAGATAACAGAACAATTAAGAATTGATGACTAAGATATGTAAGAAATGCATACATCCTTAGCTTCATATGCATTGGCTACATTGGCTTTGAAGGCCATTGAAATAAAAATCTACCCTCATAAGCACTGTCTAATAAAATATTCAGTTCTATTATGCTATGTCTCACATTTATCTCTTAGTAAGCTTTTATAAATAATTTCTAAAACCAATGAAAGATGGAGAGATCAGGATCAAACAGAACTAGATTAAAATCTTCTACCTTGACAATCAACAGAACCAAAATCATGACTTAAAAGCTTAAGGTTGATCACATTGAATTTTTTAACTAAGTTTTAGGTTTTTAGTTTTGACAGTGAGATTAATTCTCTGTGATAGACATCATTTTTAATGAGATATTTCCTTATATCTTCTGACAAAGACTAAGATTTGGTCTTGCTTCATCATAATACATATAGCCTTATGAAAATCTGTATTATTTGAGATCTGCAAAACTTTGAAATTATGAGAACAGGAGGACTGAGTTGTTTTGCCACAAGAACAGGCTATGAGAAAGAGATGCTTTTAATTAATTTTTGTACTTTCACAGTGCTTTTCAGAAAGTCAGAGGAAACAGAACCCTGAATTAAAGCCTAATTCACCTGTGTTGTGTCTTATGCCAAATATTTCCTTAAGAAATACAGCCACCTCAAAAGTTGACTATAGCCACTGTTAAGTATTGCCCAGAAAGAAAATGGAACTTACTCCAAAGAAGCTCAGGAGGTTCAGCACGTGCAAAATCCTGCCCCTGAGAAATCCCCATACATAATTCATGCTGAGCAGCAGATCTAGCAGAAAGGACCTGAACTTTATGGGAAGCATACCTTGAACACCAGCCAGCTGTGCACTTGCATCATAAATAAAGAAACCTTAGGAGAAATGGAGCCAGGAGATTAAATTTGCATTAATCCCCTTTACTTGGCCTGACTGTAGCTGTACCTGCAATTTTGTGTCTAGCTTTCCCACTTGAAGCCCACTCAGTTCAGGAAAGGTGTTAAAAAATTGGAAAAGATCCATAAAATGCTACTCAAGAAGGTCAGGGATCTACAGTAAATAAACTGTGAGAAGTTGAATAAACTAGGCTAATTTAATATGAAAAATAAACTAAGGAGTTTCAGGAGCCTACCACTACTGGGAAACACTTGCAAAGGTTAGAGTAATAAACCCTTTATAGTCCTAAATGATCTTCTTGGTGACAAAAGCCACACATCATGGCATGGGTAGCTCAGACTGAGCCCTACTAACGAGTTTTTAGCAGTGGTGATACATCATCAGAGCATGTAACCCAAAAAGAGGTAAAATACCTGTCCTTGATGGTTTTCAAATTATGCCTTGACAAAGCTGTGTCTGACCCAGTCAATGGCAATGGTAAAGTTGCAGAACAGGAGGTTGGATCTGCAAGGGCTATAATAAAGGATGTAATAAAAATAAAATTCAAGTGAGTTGGAGCCAGATCAATTCAAAACAGGAAGTAGACACACAATTTCAAATTGTAATTAAAATAAATCCTAAAGGGGTTTTTTTCGTATCGACAGTGAAAGATTTTGTTGACTATATGCTTATGCAGCTTTTCAAAGGACAAAATAGGAAGATGATATTAAATGTCCTTTCTCAAACATATTAATTTCTAAAATTCTTGTGGAGTACAGTTTCTTATAAATTTGCAGGAAAGGTTTTGAGACAGGGTGATTCTTTAGCGTAAAATGTTTGAATAAGAGCATTAAATATTTACAGCAGCACCCAAATTTACTTATTTTGCTATCAATTTTTATCTAATACATTTAAAGAGTATGAAAAATCAGTGTTTACAGAATTGTTGAGTCCACCTCTCAAGAAGAGCAGTTCCATACTACTTAATGTTCTGCAATGCAAAAATCATCTTGTTCAAATATTTACAGTAATGTTGTTCTCAAATTTTTTGATCTTACTGAAAACAGTGAGAATTTTGCCATAGAGAGTAACACAATGATTCTCTCATGAAGCTGTCAGTCACTATGGAGAAGGTTTAAAAAGCAGACTTGCTAAAGTATGTAGTAGATTAATTAAAAAACTGAACAACATATCGATAATGATTTTACCTTGTGTTGCTAAGACACAAACTCTTGAAATCTCACTGATTTCCATATTTTAATATTTCATTTCTATGGTAATTTAAGAGACATTTTCTCCTGGTATAGATAGAATTTTGTTATATCTAAGGAACTGTGTTTTCTGACTGATATAAAGTGTTTGGGATTCAATTCTGTAGCTCACTGCAATTGCATGCTTACTTTAAAGCTTGTAGTTTACTTTTATACATTTGTGTTTGCATCCTGATCATCTCCCTGAATGGAGTTACTTTTGCAGTATGAGATTAATTTATCAAGGCAACATGAAAGAGAACCAAAGAAACAAACTTTACAGTCCATATTTTTTGTAAAATTTCATTTTCCCCAGCAAAGAAACTCAATTTTGTTGTTAAATATTTGGGTCAAACACTAAACTAGAATTGTAAAGAGTTCCTCATTCTTATGCCTGGTATACACTGGAATCCTTGCAACATACCTATATAGAAGTGAAAACATGAGTGAGTTGTCCATTGCTAAAAACCCTTATATCATAATGCAAAGAGATTATAAAGAAAATACTAATGTCAAGAAACATTAAAAGGTGTAGAGGAAAAACTGAATTTTAATAGCAGCATCCAATTTATGTACCTATCCACATTTTTCAGGTAGGAAAACTTCTATATTGTGATATTTTTCTCTTCTATTACGCAGCTCAGTTTTCTTATTTCGTGTTTTATCTGAAGCAAGCAGCAAGAAAGATTATTCTCCTCTAACTGCAGTACCAGCTATCAAACTGCTGTAATATATTTCTGAATCACAGCCTGATTTTTCAAGTAAGGAAGAAAATAATCAGCTAGAGTATTAAAAATCACTGTCAGTGATGAAACTATCCCTCATCTAATTTGTTTTCACAGTGTAGACCTATTCTGCAAATGTGCCCATTGTTTCTTGAGTATCATGTTCTTAGTACAAGAAGCTTCAAGAATTACAGTGCTAGATATTTTTAGAAACAAGACATAGTCCTTAGCTGCAAAGTCTGAATTTACATTTTTTTAAAAAAAGCTGCCATTTAGGCATTTCTTCCTAGATTTAGGAAAAATTTCTTGTCTTGTCTCTAAGAAGATCTGGTCTCCTGGGTATTCAGTTCTTTGGTTTAGAGATTAACCCTCTATTGCTGCTTAGTGCAATTTTGACAGCCAAGTCTTTCATCACCTTCAAGCTAGTTCTGTGTAGAGAACATCTTAGTTCTTATTATTTATAATGGATATAAATCCATTTCCTATTTGCTGATGGCTCATGGAAAAATTCAATGCACAAGGAGAGAAAAAAAAAAAGAAAACTTACTTATAAAACCATACAAAGTATATTCATGTTCAGAGCAAAATGTTGCAAAGGCTGAATAACCCTTAGAGAACTAATCTAGCTTGACAGTTACACAGTGTTAAAGTTTTTCACTGTTCCTTTAAAAGTTATATAGCTCTGCCATCACTTCTTTTTTTTCTCCGTATCTCTAAAGAAAAAACCTATCATACTCTCTGTAAACTGACTATCCTGTTAAGAATGTACACAAAGACATATAAAAAAAGACAATAATCCCTATTGCTACAAGCATTATGTACCCAGACCTCTTCCCTGGTGGTGTCTGGCAGGAAAAAATTGAATAACACACATTATTTATAGTATTAAAATATTAAAAATTACAATAAACAATATTATTTCATCTTGACCCTGAGGAACTGTTCTGCAGGAAAGGAGACACGATGGGGAAAGCATTTATGCTGCAAAAAGGAGCCTGTGTTTGCAGAACAGAGCAGCAGGTGAGAACCTGAGGTAAACAAGGAATGTGGCCTTAGATGGTTGAACCTT